AGAGTGTGACTACTCAGTTGGAGGCCTGGAAAGGGGCTCGGGCACGGGGGCTCCCTTCTGTCAATCCCAGTATTCTTACCTTCCAGGGATGAATGTGTGTGTGTGTGTGTGTGTGTGTCTGTCTGTCTGTCTGTCTGTCTACCTGCCTGCCTGCCTGCCTGCCTGCTTTTGTATGTGTGGATCTTCTGGGTTTCATAGTGTTCTCCAAAATGCATGTCTATCTACGACATAGAATGTCACCCTGTCTGGAAATGTGGTAGGAATTAGTTGAAATGATGTCACAGTAGATTAGGGTGTTGCCTAGACTCAACAGCAGGTATCCTTTATCAGAGGGCCACTTAAGGACGGAGGCAGATCCTGGAATGACATGGCTGCAAGCCGTGCAGCATGTGAATCCTATGTGTGTGTGTGCACACTTGGTGGCCCAAGAGCCACCTCTGGGCAGAGAACTGCACTTGGAAAACCACCTGTGAGCAGAGGCTCACCCTGGAGAATCACCCTGGAGCTCGGGATGGAGGCAGCCAGGTCTTTTGGGACAGGCCCTGGGAGAGCCGGGCTGGCGGGGCTCATCTCATCCTCTTCCTCTTGCTGTCTCCCAGCTGCACCCCCACCCCCAGCACTGACAAGATCATTTATTCAGTGAAGTGTGGCTCAGCTTCTGTGGCTGCACTCAAGAAACTAGTAGTCAGGTCTAAGCTTCTTGTGGGCACAGAGACCATGAGAGGGCACAGAAGTGTGGGAGTTCTGGGAGCCCCAAGAAGACCTTGCCTCAGTCCTAGGGCATTGGAGGGCTACCTGGAGGAGAAGCCAAGGGGGCCCTGGAAAGATGGGATGCTTAGCTCCTACCAATTGTGGCCTTATTTGCTGTCTAGCATCAGTTCAGACCCTAGAAGTGCAGGCATTTCAACCCCCACAAGCCCTCTGAGATGGGGACAACTGCTGCTGAAGGAGCTTTAGACAGTGTGGCCACTTTCCAGGCTGGGGACATCTGGGCCTCCAACCACAAGGAGGGAGGGATGGGGCATTCCAGAGGGATGACACAGTATGTGCACAATAGCCAACTCAGCCATGGACTCAGACTGTAAGCAGCCTTTCCTCGGGGTGGGGGGCCTGACACGAGCAACATACCCTGCTCAGACACAAGGAGGAGGCCAGAGGTGAGCCTGTCCCTGGGCTCTGGCCCCATCTGTCAAAATAGGGCAGAGCCACATCAGCTGCCTGGGGGCTTTCTGAGCGCAGCTGCTCCACCTATGGGAGGGCACCAGATGTCAGAGGCTGCGGGCCTGGCTGACGTGGCCTCAAAGGGCTGTGGGGACCCCCAGAGAGCCCAGACCATGAGGGGCCTGAGACTCATGCACAGCCATGGTGAGGGCTCTGTTAACAGATTCGCCATGGGGAAGGTCAGCCCCAGAGGGAGGCAAAGCTGAGTGCTGAGGGCAGTGGTAGGCAAACTTCTAGGACTTATGGTGACTCCACACTTTGGCCCTGGACAATCTCTGTATGGCTCTAGGGTGTTCTGGCCTCATCAACTAGATCACAAGCCCCCATGCCAGAGACCACCCTCCTTCTGAACTTGTTGCTAGCCCTTGCATGGGATTAGAAAAGCTACTGTGATCCAGTGGATGAAGCCAGAGAAAGTGAGCCCCAGCTGCAGCAAGAAGTACTCCAATTAGACCTAAGGAAGCTCTGGCCTGGCAGGAAGGAAGCAGCAGCTATTTCTGGGAAAGATCCCTCCATCTGTGATAGTCTACCTACCCCTCCATGTCCATCTCCTCTCCCCTCTCTCCTCTCCTTCTCCCCACCACACTTCTGCTACTGTCATCTGTAAGGGCCAAAGGCTACCTGCTTGTCCAAGTCACACAGCCTTTGCACATGGACATGATGCACCCAGATTTCCTAAGCCCTGCACCTGCTGAAGATGAGTGAGCCTGGGCTTTACCCAGGACACTTCTAGCCAGACAGAGCAGACAGCTGCACCAGTGCTTAATTCTGAAACAGCCACAGCCACAGCCACTGGCAGAAATTAGTGGGGAGCAGAAGGGCAGAAGTGAGCAAGGAATGGAAGCTTCTGGAATTGACAGGTAGACTGGCTTGCCTGGAAAGGGCCTACTGAGCATGTGGGCAGGTCAGGCTTGGATCACCAGGCCCTGATCAGGCTGAATGATTTGCACATTGTGGTGTGAGCAATGGGGAGCGATGAAAGGTTTTGGTGAAAGGTACATTGTCTGGCTGGGACCAGAAGGGCTTCCAGAGCTTGCTGATTGTCCTAGGATCTCACGACAGTCACCCAGCCTTGACTCTGAGGCCTGTCAGGATTCCCAAGGTGAGCAGTATGTGTCTCAGATGTTAGGTTTTGGTGAAGCCTGTCCCCGCAGCCCACCTGTGGCACTGCAGAGTCTCCCTTCCTTCTCTTTCTCTTTTCCTGTTGCATTGATCTCTTTCCGACATATTTCATTCCTTATGCTGCTGCTTATCTGTCCCCACCACAACCCCAGGGAGTGAAGACCACAGCTGGGCTCCTATTCTACTTGCTGAACACCCAGTGCCTAGCACCAGCCAGGGAGCCTAACAGACGCATCATCTATCAGCTAAACCAAGAGGAAAGCACTGCCCTGCGGGAGCCAGGAGGGTGTGCTCGCTCCCTCTCTGGCACGCCCCTCCTGGCTTCCAGCGCTTGGCAGTTCCAAGCCTCCTGGTGGAAAAATCTCTGCGAAAACCAGACAGAACTGCGCTGCTGCTCCTGCACCTCTCATCCTTGCCAGGAATCTGGGGAGATTTGGACTCTTCCTTCCTCCCTCCATTGCCCAAACCACCGCTGCTTTACTTCATCTCAGAGTGGAGGCCAAGAGAGGAAAATTGTACCTCGGAGAGGAAAGTTTTGCAGGACAGCGCAGCCTGAAGGAGCTGCTTTGACTAAGTGCACCTTCAGCGCCTAGGCTGGGCAGGGCATTCTGGTCCTGTTTGACCTCACACCGACCTGAAGAAGTGGGCAATCTCTCCTCCCCTTTTACACATTGGAAAAATAGAGACTCAGAGAAGTCCTTGACATTGGCCAAGTTTCCCTGCCAGAGGAGAAGCCTGGTTTTAAGCACAGGTCTGCCCTGGTCCTTCCTGGTTCAATGAATACGGGAAGCAGCTGAGACGGGGATGGAGCGGTCTGAGTTCTGTCCAAGGTGCTGATCGTGGGGGTGGGGTCTGCAGCCCCGGGCTGTTCACCCAAGCTTTGGGAGCTCAAGCGCTGGCTGCCTCCCAGCGGCGAATGAGGACAGTGACTTCATGTCTGCCACCTGGCCTGAACTCATCAGAGTGCTGCGGTTCTGGGCAATGGCCACGTGTCCTCTCTGCACTCTGATGTGGACAAGATTGGCTGGGCTTGCTGCATTTGCAGTCCCAGTGGACCCAGCGCCCCATGCTCAGGTCTTCTCAGGGCTGGATATGGGCCGGGCAGAGGAGCTTGAATCAAACCTGCAACAGTGGGAGTGCAGGTCACCATTACTTGCACACCTTAGGAACTCAGTCCACCACCACAAGGATGGACACTCTTACCAATATTACCAATTCCTTATTCTGTGCAAGGCAAATGATATATCTAGTTTCTACCTTCAAGACTCTTAAAGGGCAGGCGAGGACATAATCTATTAAATGAGTCATAGGGAGCCACGGATGTTTATGGATCAGGGAAATATGATCACTACACTGAGCTCTAGGGAAGCTAATCAGGCGGCAGAACTCACTGGGAGAACAGACCTCCGTAATAATCAGAGCTAGCACATTAAGCGCTTTATGGTTGCTAGATGTTGTTTCAAGTACTTTGAAGACATTAACTTACTGATTCTCACAATGACATGAGGGTACTATCATCCCCATTTTACAGATAGAAACTGAAGTATGTAGAGGTGGCAGAGCTGGCAATGTCCAGAGCTTTTAACCACTGTTCAATGGTTGGTTCTCAGGGCCATCTAGACTGGGGGGACCAGGATCTGGCATGGGGCTGGGCAATGAGCACAGCTGGGGGACACCGAAGCATGCGCTGCTTACCCTGAAGGGCTGTCCTAAGGCAGGCCAGGATATGGTAAGAGACACAAATGGCAAACACTTAGCCAAGATCACTTTTATCCATTCTAACAACATTCACAATGTTCTTGGCCCACGGCCTTTATAGGACTTCTTTCATTTAAGAGAGATTTTAGACACTTTCAAATCTTATCATAGTTAAAGCTTCTCCCGATAAGCCTCCTGGACTGTGTAGTCCTTTCTCAAAGATTTATTCATTAACATATTTACTTACATACCTGGGGGAGAAAACCTCACTTCGATGCTGTAAATATTAACACTGCAGCTTTGGGTTCTGGGTCATTTCTGCAGAGCGGTATGAGTTGCTAGAGGGGACGAGGAGGTGGGGGGAAAGGAATAGGAGCTTGGGGCAGGGGTGGGACTGAGGCCAGGCTGGGAGGGTGCCACTGGGCTTGGAAGGGCTCTTGGAGGCCAAAGGCTTCCTGTTATTTTGACAAGATTACACCTGATTCCTCTGAGATGTTCAATGACAACATTTGCAACTACACTATTGATATAAGTAATGCTTGAGAAGTAAAGAGGGATTGCGAGGGATTGCGGGTGGATTATATCACCAAGATCCCTTCCAGCTCTAACAGTTTATGAAGATACCATCTGTCTTAATCCTTTCCCAAGGAAAAAGTGTCAGGATTCAGAGGACTCATGGAAGAACAGTGTCTGACTTGGTCCCAAGCCTGCCCCATGCCAGGGTGTTGGGGCAAGAAGCACACTGGGGAACCAGCTAGGAGCTCAGGTGGGGAGCAGTGCTGAGGGGTCAAGGGCATCCTAACCAGAGCTGGTGGGGGTTAGAACAGCCCACAGAGATCCTCTGCCCACATGAAGAGCCCCAGGCCATGGGCAGCAGGCACACCTGTGGCTCCCAAGCTGGAGGAAGGAGCAGCTGCTAGCCTCAGCTCGGCTGGGTGGGATGATGGCCCGGCACCTACCTGGAGCAGCAGGTGAGGCTGGAGGTTTTGCCGATGGGCTGTTCCAGGGCCTTCCTCTTCTTGGTCAGTCCCCCAGGAGGAGGTTCTCCAAGCCACTCGGCACTGTCCTGCAGATTCCTGACCACAAAAGTGGCTCCTCCAAGGCTCTATGGCATGGGGACAATGGACCAGTCAGGGCAGGTGGGCAGGGATCCCAGTCCTCCCTGTCCTCCGGGCAGCTCCTCCCCAAGCTCCTCCCTGGCCCATCATGCTCGCCAGCATCTGCCCAGAACTGCTGCAGGGAACCCAAAGCTCAGAGGGAATCCATGATCCTCAGGTGGTCCCCCAGTTCCAAATCCAGTGAATGCCCCCAGGCAGGAGTGAGCCCAGGAGCTGCCACTCATCCCAGCTGAGCAGAGGCCAAGGGATGGGGGCGAGGAGAACCAAGGAGAGAACACTGCCCTGGGATTTCAAGAAGCACCAGCTCTGTCCCCAGTGTGCTGCAGTACCCCACTTTCCCTCACGGGGGTGGGGGGCTTTAGCCTAGATGCACAGACAGAGCCTGCAGGATTGAACTGAGAAGAGGTCACAGGAAGCCACACTCATCATCTTCAGAATCACCTGAGGCTAGCACGTGCTAACTCCACGGTGAAGTGGTCCCCCCTGGCCTACTTAATGTCCAGGAAGGTGCCCAGGAATCTGCATTTTCACAGGTTCCCCACCCAAGTGCACAGGAAGTTCTACCCAATGCAAATACTGGGAAAGGGCAGGCAAGGCCAAGGATAACGGTTTTACAATACACATTAAGGGGCCATGGGTCCCTTTCTGAAAACAGTATTGGAGGGTCCAGTATCTACAGAAAGACTAGCCAGGGGACCCTGGGAAGCTTACTGGGGCCTCTCTAGCTCTCATTCTCCTTGCAGCCAACATGAAGATTAGCACTGTTCTAAATCTGCCAATGCAAGAAGAAACGAACCCACTGAAAAATCTAAAAGAAGTTCATCACTGGCAAGCAGCTCAGGGTAGAGCACTCATCAGCCCTGGGTTCCACCCCCAGCATAAATAAGTAAAATCAGAGCTCAGGCTCAAGCATTTTAACTCTTCTCCCTCCCTTCATAACTGATCTAATCTTAATATTCTTAATTCTGAAAATGACATGGCTGCAGAAGAAAACACTTAAAATGAAATACAAGGAAAAATAACATTTAGCGTATGTGTCCTTACCATCCCAGAACTCTGTCTCCCTCTGAAACATGCACAGTTAAGAGTTTTGGTTAAGTTTTCTTCAAGTTTTCCCCAAATATAGGCAAATATATATGTGTCTGTATCATTTTTTAAAATGTATTTAGTACAGGGTCTACAGGGTCTCACTACACAGATTGGATTTGTAGTGATCCTCCTGTTTTCAGCCTCCCAAGCGCTGGGATTACAGGGGCACACCACCATGCCCAGTCTCAGTCCCCATCTCGGCGCACCCCAGGGACAGGGCCAGCATGACATGCCGGGGATCGAACCGTGGTCCTCGTACCTGCCTAAGCAGGTGCTTTAGTCCACTGAGCTATCTGGCTGGCCCATGTATCTTAAGAACGTATTCTCCGTGCTCTGTCGGTATTTTGCTCATTCACATCTACACATGCAACACAGATCTCAATTTTTAAACAAGTGCTTCATGGAACCAATGTGCTAGACTGTCTGAGCCTCTACCTGTGTGGCTGGATTTTAGGCAGTTACTCTATTTTTAATGCAGAACGTTGCAACAAACATCCGTGACATCAGCTGTAGGATAAACCCCCAGGTCAAAGACTGTGTGTGTCGAAAATTCTGGTCGATGCTGCCAAACTGCTCAGAGGGCACGTAGCCATCGGGGCTCCCTGAGCAACGCAGGAAGGCGCCTGCTTCTCTCCACCCTTGATAACACCGTGTATTACCAAACTTTGACACAGCAGAAAGTTAAAAAGATGATAACTCGTCTCAGTTTATTGTCAGGATGAGAAGACATATGTTCACAGTGTTTGATCCCCCAGCCTTTCTAATTTATCTTACTGATTTTAAAGATTTCCTAAGTTGGTTCAGTTTTGTTTCATGTGACTCACAAGTTGTCATTTGTCTCTTTACCTTATTGTGGCATCTCGTGCTTAGAGAAATTTCACGTTTTTATTTTTTTCGTTTCTGTAGTAAAAAATACCAGCCTCTTCCTGTATGACTTCTGAGTGTTTGGCCTTACTTTAAAAACTCTTCCTCACTGCCAGGCTTGATGGAAAATGCCTGTAGCCCCACCACTCAGGAGGCGAAGGCAAGAGAACCAAGAGCTCAAGAGAGGCCAGGCTACTTGGCAAGTTTAAGGCCACGAGGCTGGACTATATAGCAAGACCCTGTCTCAAAAACCAAACAGGTGCAGTGAGATAGCTCAGTAGTCTAAAGTACCTGCTTAGGCAAGCTTAGGCAGGCGCAGGGGACCGTGGTTTGATCCCTGGCCTGGTTTGATCCATTCTTAGGGTGGGCTGAGCTGGCAAAAAAACAAAAACAAAAACAAAAACAAAAAAAACTAAAAAGTCTTTCTCACTGAGGATCATATAACACCTATCCATATTTTCCACCAGTAGAGTTTTCTTATTTTTAAACCTCAGCTGCTTCCAAAAGTCTATTGGTGCAAGGACTGTGGTGGGACCAGCTTTACTGTTTCCACCAAGAGACTAGCTAGACAGTTGTACTACTCTTAATTATTTAAGTAATTAATTTTGAGACAGGGTCTCCATATATAGTTCCAGCTGGCCTTGAACTCACTAGGCTGGCCTAGAACTTGCAGAGATCCTCCTGCCTCAGCCTTTAGAGTGCTGGGATAACAGGCATGCGCCACGCCTAGAGCTGGAATGATTTCTCATAGGGTAATCTTCACTTTATCAAGCAATGTGAACAGCACCCCCCATTGCATTTTTAAAAAACTCGAGTCTGTAGTAAATCAAATCCAGCCAAATCAGAAAGTAAACATCAAAACAAAACATACCTAAAACTGTTGGTTTCCAGGTTAGCTTCCAGTCTGTGCTCCCAGGTCTGGTGGGAACTCGGAGCTCTGCCCTTTCCCGGGCACTCCCAGCATCCTCGAAGGCATCAAGAGCTCCGAAGTCAGTTCTCACAGAAGTTGCATCTCCAAAAACCGCACTGTCCTACTCATTTTAATACTCCATTACCTGTCCTCTATCTCTAGATTCAAAAATCTGATTTAACTATACAGTAGGATGGATGCGGGACTGTTTCAAATTCTAGCCCCACGCGATCTAGGATAAGTTGCTTAACTTTCCTGTGTCTCAGTTTCCTTGTCTAAAAAATGAGAACAATAATAACACCATCTTCATGGGGTTAGGGTGATGAATAAAGCAGCTATTAGAGGTAAAGGATGTGGAAAGACGCAAGGGCAACCAGGCACGGTGGTGCACACCTATAATCCCAGCTGTCTGGGAGGCTGATGTAGGACTTCCACAAGCTTGAGTCCAACCTGGGCAATTTAGCAAAATTATATCTCAAAATAAAAAACAAAGGGCTGACCAAATAGCTCAGAGGATTAAAGTGCCTGCAAGCAGGCGCAGGGGTTGGGGGGTCGATCCCCAGGCCTGCTGTGCTGGCCCAGCCCCTGAGGCGCGCTGAGATGACAACTGAGACTGGGCGTGGTGGCACTCACCTGTAATCCCAGCTCTTGGGAGGCTGTAAACAGGAGGATCACTAGAGTCTAATCTAGTAGTGAGACCCTGAACACCCTGTAGACCCTTCCCTAAAATACAAATAAATAAAATAAATAAAAAATTAAAAAAAGGGTTGGGAATGTAGCTCAGTGTGAAGACCTAGGCTCAACCCCAGCCTTGAGGCAACTAACTGTAGGCTGTCCAAAAGTGGCTCCCCTCAGATGTAAACACACACCCAGGCTGAAGGTGGAAAGATGGCAGAAGTATATAATCCATGCAAATGGAAACTGGTGAGCATTAAGGCGTGTCTCTCAGAGCTCCTGTTTTGGAAACTTTAGTCTCAACACAACAATCATGAGGTGAGACTTTTAAAACTCATCAGATCACACAATGATCTACCTCTTGAATGGATGAATGCCATTATGTGGGAGTCAGTAGTTACCTCAAAAGTGGGTTTGTGGGGCCTGGGAGATAGCTCAGTAGAATAAGCGCTTGCCTGGCAAGCGCAAGGGCCTGAGTTCAATCCCTGGTTCTGGGAAAAAAAAAAAAGGCAGGTTTGTTGGGGAAGTGAATTTGCCCTCCTTTCTCCCTCATACACCCTCTCACCATGTCATGCCTTCTTCCATATTATGATATAGCAAAAAGACCTGAACAGATACAGCCTCTCTCTCTTGGACTTCCCAGCCTCCAGAGCCACGAGCCAAGTACATTTCCACGCATTATAAATTATCTACCCTTGAATTCCCTCACAGCAGCACAAAACAGACTGGGACAGTAACCAAGTATGGCCAGGGGTGACCGCAGTCACAACCAAAAGCTGCCACAAGAGATGAAGGACTTTATGTAATGATAAAAGGCACATCCACCAGAAAGACATAGTAATTATAAATATGTATGCACCTAACAGGAGAAGACCCAATAGGTGAGACAAATGCTAACAGAATCAACAGCAGAAATACCACCGTCATACTAGTACAAGATTTCAGTACAAAACTTTCAATAATAATAATTTGAATAGACGGAAAAGCAACAAGGATGTAGAGGAACAGAGCAACACTCAGACCACATGGAGAGACCACCCTCAGACCACATGCACAGACCACCCATGTGCAGAACTTGGCAGCCTGGAAGCTGCAGCCCAAAGCTCAAGCACAAAGGGAACGTGCGCCAGGGCGAATCCTGTCAGCCTCGAGTTAAAGGGTGTAGGATGCTGCCCACACCTGGGAACCGTCCACTGCCGATCACTATTGTCACTGTGTTCTGTTACTGTTCTGTGGACCAGTTCTGTCACTCACCAGACACCTACCACCTGCCTCACGGGCCCGGAGTCAGCAGTGACCCACAGGTGATAGGACAGTTTCTCCCTGCTTCTGCTTAGGCTGCTTTCCAGTTATTTGGAGTAATTTTACTGATATTTACATTTTCTTCTATTATATTTTAAATGAGGCTAATGTGTGTATGTAGAAGTCCTGCATATTTTCATTTTCAAT